AGGATTACAGGTGCTCCCCACCATTCCTGGTTAGTTTTTCTATCTTTAGTAGAGACAGGGTCCCACTCTTGCTCAGGCTGGTCTTGAACTCGTGAGCTCAAGCAATCCACCCACTTCTACCTCCCAGAGTGCTAGGATCACAGGCAGGAGCCTCCGCGCCTGGCCACCTTACCCATATTTCACTCTTCTTAGAGTTCCAAGAGCCTGTATGTGGATTTGATAGTTAAACAATTCCCTTTCAACCTAGAAGAGAGACCACTGTGGTGGGTTGACAGAAGCCCAGACAAAGGAGTAGCCAGAAGTCAGAAAATTGCAGATAGGAGAGGGAAATTCTTATCAGTGGGCTTGTACACAGCAAGGGATCTACAAAGTCAATAAAGAGTTAACAAAGTCCACCACATCGGGTTTGTAAGCCAAAAAGACAAGAAGGAAGTTTCCACAGTTCACAGTTCCACAGTTACTCACCTGGAAGGGGAAGCACAGTGCTGGTGTTAGAAACAGAGCCTCAAAAGTGGTGCAAAGGGGAAGGTCTTAAAACCTAAACAGCTCGGCCAGCTGGGTTCAGAGGCAATTTGAAATTTTCTTACCACTATTCTCATTCTTATTTTCCTGTCATCTTGCTTCTTCTCCAGTGTGTTATCAGACATAATTATTTTTATTCACAGAGCAGCCAGTTTAACGAGTTTGGCTTTCTGGGAAGTAGGTTTTGTGAGCACAATCTGTCTCACTATAATGCAGATGGAAAAAAATGACCTGCCAGCAGCCAGCTCAGACTATGAGCTCTGCCCAGAAAACAAACTACACACCCACTGGTACGAACTGAATGAAGTTATTTAAAGCCATGTGTGCACATGCACCCCCACACCAGAGCTGCTTATGATGGGTGACACTCTGTTCTCCCAGTCTGTCCTTTCCCATTTGTCCAGTTCCCATTTGTCCAGTTCCCAGTTCTCCAAGTATAGTTTCATGTTTACTTGGCAAGAGAGTCCATTTCCATCACTTTTAAGTCTACACAATCAGCCAAACATACCTATCACCAATGACTCAACTGATGGCTTATTCCTTCACACTGGGCTATCACACCTATTACAAAGCACAGACCTTTAGATGAAAAATGATCTACCATTGCATTTCCTGAGCCAGGTTCCCACCCTCACTTTTATTTGCACATAGGTGGTTTAAAGAGGATACGCTTATTAACACCCAGCAGCCCACGGAAATTAGACGGTAGAGCAACAACAAATGAATAGCGTGATGAGGCCCACTCCATGAAATTGCTTTCTGGATGTTTGTGCAGGAAGCTCTTTCCAATGATTACAGTTTAGGTAGAGGCATATGGGATGTGCCAAAAGAGTCCAGGATTTTTAAGGTTTATACACCAGTCATGCTCACATATCCATGAAAACCTATGCAGGGAACCTAACCATAAAGCCCACCAAAGCTTGAATATCATAAGAGGTTCATGTTCATGTGTAACAACAATATTCCTCTCTAGATCATTTTTTTTCTATTACATCTCATATTCAATAATCTCATGGTGGGCGGTGCCTGTGGCTCAAAAGAGTAGGG